ATATGTTAACTTAGGGTCATTGCAGCGAAACCAAGGAGCTCCACACTCCAATATCTTCAGAGACGTCAACAATTCAAGTATCGGGTTATTATAAAAAGGATGAAACAAAAGGCAAGCGACATCACTACAATCCACAATACCCAATGCCAAAGGTTAAAAGGACTAGTTGTTGACCCTCCATAATACAACCCTTCCCTTGAATACATTTTGAAGTAAGCTCTCAAACAATGTTCAGAATACAGTTATAAGTACAGCAAGTCAACCACAAGTACCCATGTAAGCAAAAATATTGATCAAAAAGAGATCCGCTGTATGCTGCTTTCCCATCAAAAAATCGCAGCCACTCTATTCATACGTGGTGACGCTTTCCTGGTCACTTTCACGCGGTGTTTCGGATTTCGACGGGTCATGCGGTCAGTGTTTTCTGCACCGAACTCGGGAAATCATTGGAAAACAGCTGACAGACACAGCGTGATGATAACTTTATTGGTGCTAAATACACATTCAAAAACGTCACGCTGCATTCTTGCCGTTCTTCTTAGCATCTGAACAAATGGTTCTTAGAATGTATCACAAACATGCATTTTTTTGAAGTTACCCTTAGAAGACTTCTTTTCATGCACCACACCACAATCCGAGAAAGAGTTCACCGAACCACGGAACGTTCGCCATAATGTGACATCTTCAATGCAAACAGCGCCGCCTCCACGCTTGAATTGTGACTCCTGTAGCAAAGAAGCTAGTTAGCTCGGAAAATGGATAAGTGATAATAAGTGAAGTGCCCTAGAGCAAACTAATTGAGTTACCTGTCTGTTCACGTCCCCTATACATACAGCTGGTACAGACTCGCTCATGGACACACCCCACTTTGAATGATCCTTGGAACTGGCATACTCTTTGTCCAACACCTTCACAGAAGTGACGTCGTAAACCTAAAAGAACTCGCTCAAAGCATACGTATAGACGGCAAGCAGGACATTTGATAATTTTACATTTTCTCCATCGTCGCACTGTGTGCCGACATCTTTAGCAGCGCCGTTCCTCCACGTTTCGACTGCCATAGGAGTTCTCAGGTACGGAGCAATGAAGTCGTGCCATAAATCTACAATGACCCATGTAGGAATGGAGAACTTCAAATGAGAAGCCGTCTTCTAACTTTATGTGACCTTTTCCGAATTTCTTATGCTTTGCAAATGCCTTGATTCTCTTGTGACCGCGAGTTTCAAAGTCGTGAGAAGTGGTGAACCGTGTGTCTGATCGTCCGAGAGATTTCCTGTTCACTACATCCACTAGGTACGGCGCTCTGTAGCATTGCTATGCTTAAGAATGGCCATATGTTGGTCCTCACCAAGCAATTACTTACATTATTTCGAAGTTTTTAGGCAAGTTGGTAATATAGGGCGTCACTTGGGAATATCTCATGTACTGGCTGATATCTTCAAGATAATTGGCATCGAGCGAAAGACAGATAAACGACTGTGCGTATTTTGAACCTGTTTCCGGATAGTCGTATTTATCTGAAATATTTCGGGTACTTTGTAATACGTTATCCGGCGCATATGATTATATATTAAAACAAACTCATTGTGTAATGTTGAAGAAGTCTCTCACCAGGTGGGGGAAAGTTGGGCACACTGTGTACCAACCAGAAGCCGCTATCGATGGTGAAAACAGCAACACCTTTGCTGTGGCCACGTCCACTGTCTACTTGCTTCCCGGGGCAGTCATCGTTGTACGCAATTTTGAAAGTTGTTTTCTGCAAAAATCTCAAAATTCATCCATTTTTCCCATTGAGAGAGTCCCGCACATCATTGCTGGTGTAGAGTTGCTTCAGAGTGGCACCGATTGCCGAATCTGTACTGTTTATTGGCTGTTTGCTCATAACCCATCCACTTTGAGAAGAGTCATAGTAGACAAAACTTCGTCCTTTTCTTTCGTCAACATTCGCTGGCAGCTTTACAGCGACAAACCTGCAAATGAATTGTCAAAGAAATCGTTTTTATCTGATACACATGGTCAAAAAACGTCTAGAGGTTTTTCGTCTACAAAGAATGAAGCTTCATACTGACCAGTCAACATCTTTCCCATTCATATTTTTGCATCGGAATTGAGCATCAACTAGGCAAGCGATTGCAACAATCGCTACCACGATTTTCCACATTTTGTGCTCTGAAAATCTGTGCTTGAAATGAACTGAGGAAACACAATTCCTGAGATTTGCCAAAGTTATGCTGAGGAGAAGAAACCTTTCTGTTGACTGGTGATCAACACGGGCATGGATCCTTATATAGCGATTTACATGATCCCCATGTCATATGTGTACACGATACCGTACTGTACTTCTGACGTTCGTTGCCGTGGATGTCATCAATCCACCCCCGCTCGACAAGCGATTATTCATGTAGAAGAGCTTCTAAATTTCCTTTGTATATATGTACATTGAGTTAAATCCCAATTAAATCTTTAGCGTCGAGGAAATGATTTTCTTAGAAAGTTTAACAACAGAAGGCTAAAACACCGTAGAACCTCACATTTTGCACTCACCTGTGCGAACGTGTACCTGGGTTTACCTGTTTTTTCCTCATCAGCCTGTAGTACATTTTCGTTCTTCCAATACCTTTAACTCAAAACATAAACAGATGCGCTAATCACATTACGAGGGAAAATATACACAGGGTGGCAAAAACTTACGTGCGCCATTAAATACATCTGAAATTTTTCTTGTCCACAAAAGAAGGTGATTGATTTTTTGAAAGTGATTGATTCCATGAAACACTGAATCATGGTAGAGCAGGCAGGGATAGCCGAGTGGTTAAGAGGTTAGACTCATGTCTGCACCTCTGAAAACCGCGAGTTCGATCCCTGCCGAGGCTTAAACCATGCAAAAATTGCAAAAATGGTTCTAGTACCAGCGTCAGGCCCAGGTTGACAGGCCGGCTGATGAAGACCCCAGTCACACAAATATGTCTAAAGTCGAAAAGAATCAGTGATAAAGCTAGGACGTCACCCGGAAGTGGCGCGCAGAACCCCCGCCCGAGTTCTGTGGTCAGTATGCGAGGGCTACCGAGGAGTGAACGGCCTCGGCCAAAGAAGCTAGTTCGAATTGGGACTCTGAACGTAGGTCGCTAACTGGGAAGGTCTGATCACGCGCAGGAATATCCAAGTCCTATGCCTTCAGGAGACGCGATGGAAAGGCGCTAAGGCCAGGGAAATCGGGGAAGGTGTCAAACTCTACTACAATGGAGAAGACACCAAGCGGAACGGCGTGGCCATAGCGGTAGCGGAGTCGCTCAAGGACTATGTCTCCGCTGTGAACAGGATCAGCGATCGGATCATGGCTGTGAGGATAGACACGAAGGAGGGGTACTGGACCATACTCTCCGTGTACGCACCGCAAGCCGGTCTCTCCCAAGAATGAGAAGGACGGGTTCTATGCGGCAGAGGTGTTCGACGCATAATTTTTTCCAAGTTTTAGACAGTTCTTTTCAAAGTCACCACCCCTTTTGCGCTTCAATTCTTTAGTAGCTCATTAATGAAAACCCAAACGGAAATGTCTGATGCCTCCAAATTTGGACTGTAAACAGACTAGGAATCCATCGCCAAAACAGGTGATACTGGTCATGAAGAAGTGGAGCGCTGTGTTACTCTATGGGTAAGAGCCCATACCGGTAGGAAGATATTAGGTTGTTTAAAAAGCAATGCGTGTTCCGAGATGCTATGCATAATTGGAATATCTGAAATTTCCTTAGAGGCCTGAATTCCTATATAGTATTGGCAAGCCTATTCTACTTTCTTTCTTCCAGTTTACTCGAAGTTAAGTTCGAGCTACTCAGGGCTCTTTATAGAATTGAATTGGAGGTGTCTAGACAGCGGTTTGAGTTTTCTTCGATGTGCAGATACTCTGACATAGTGCACCATAGACCTAAAGAAATAACACTAAAGAGTGAGGCCAAGGAAGCACCAATAAAAGCGCAGCACAGCCTTGACTGCAAAACGTTGGTTTAGAAGAATTCCATAGTGAAGTGAGAGGAGTTATGAGCATACTTCTGCTGTTGACGACGGCTTTCTGAAGATTCCCGTGGAAGATGATTTTAGTCTAGCTGTGCTATAGCAAGCAGTAGGAACGAGTGTAGGTATTTCGAAAACGGAGTGACTCCTGAAGATAAAAGGGAGAGCTGAACAGGTGTCTTCTCTATGGGTTGACTGAAGCAGCAGCAATACTGTCTTCCCAAGAGGTCGTTTCTTCCCATTACACATACCAAAAAGTACTAGAATGTAGACTGCATTGTCATTCACGACAAAAATGGACTCTTCAGCCAACCCCCTTATAGCTACACCAAGATGAGTCTTCAAAAGCTTCTCCATGACCAGAATTGTAAAAGATTAATGTTGAGCTGAACATTCGGCGACCGTCCACGAGAATGAAGAACGAAAGAACGTCAGCTCTTGGAAACCGGGTGTATTAACACTGGCCAGCATACCGATGAGATGCTATAGAAATTTCAAGCTCGTCGACCGAGAAAATCAAGCCAAACCTCTTTCATGGTGGCGTTAAGTCACAAGCCCCATACAAGCAAAGATTGAACAAACTGGCGTACGAAGCTTCGATCCATGCGCAATACTCATTGGACCTCTCGCTCACCAATACCCCCTCTTCAACCATCTTCACACTTCTTGAGTAAGAAATGCTTCAATGTTCAAACTGATGTGAAAATGACGCTGCGACGGTATCATCGCCCCTGATTTTTAAGTGATAAGTACATTTGAGTATGCATCTTGTTGAAAAAAGTTAGATCTTTCCAATAGTTTCTGTTGCGACTAGAAATGTTGAGTTTTATAGTGGAGTGGGTGTTTGTGTGGAAACATGCCTCTTTGAAGAAAGGGGCCACTCACTCGCTGTCATCATTAGTTTCACATGGGTTCTAGTAGCGCAATGCAAATGACATCTTACATCTACCTAGAATTAAATTCAAATGGAAGGTGCTTGCTGATTTGGTTCGTAGTGATTAGTACGAAAACATAGGAGGGAACGCGTCCTGCAGAAGAATCGTAGGGAATGGGCAGCGAACATGTACCACAAATTAATATACACGCTTCAAGACCCAGAGAAGGAAGAGTATACCTTTTACCTTCAACACAATTTGTCTTCGAACATTCCTCCATGTTTGCAAATCGGGCCCTTTCCATCTTTGTCTGTCTTGTGCTATTCTTGTCCATGTAACTGTACCATTGGATCGCACCATCTCATCTTCGGATGACCCACAGGGCGTTTGCATCCTCGAGGGTACCACTCGGTTAATCTTACTGTCCATCTGTTATCTTTACATCTTGTCACGTGTCCAGCCCATGATTGTTTCTTTCGATATATGGTTTTGACAACATCATCAACGTTTGTGCGTCTTCTCAGCTCTTCGTTGTTTACTCGGTCTCTTAACGAAATTTTGCACATCCTTCTTTCCATATGCCTTTGTGTTACAGCTAACCTTTTTCATCGTTTTCCGTTGTCGCCCAGGTTTCTGCTGCATATGTGAGGGTTGGTAATATCATTGTGTTGAAGAGAGTTGAACGATCTTCCAATGTTAACTCTTCATACATAAGGTTCCACTTCTTCGATATGCGTCCCATCCAAATCAACATCTCCTGTTTCGCAGAATCGATTCATCCATTTTTGCTTCCTCTGGGTGAATCTGTAGACTGCAACTTTCGCTGCTTCTGCTTGTAGATCCTTCAATTTCTTCTGCAGCCCGATGCCAATAATATACAATCGTCCGCATACAGAAGATGTGTAAGCGTATTCTCCATCTAATTCGATCTCCCTCATTTCCATTCCATATTTCGGAATACAGCATTAATTACTACAGGGGACAATCTTGGGGAGGTAATGTTCCGTTGTCGCACACCTCTTCTTAGGTCGAACTTCGCATTCGTCATTTTGATATTGGTAGTGCTTCCTCGATACATTTCTGCTATGATGTTGACATAATTGGAACTAATTCCTATTTGACGAAGAGAGTTAAGAATTGCATTCGTCTCCACTGTGTCAAAAGCCTTCACAAAATCCACGAAAAGGCAGCATACCGGCAATTGGAATTCTCTACTTTTCTCAAGCAGTTGTCTCAAAGCGTGGATGATCAATTGTGGAATAGTTTTTCCGAAACCCTGCTTGTTCCCGATCTTCATTCTGTTCTATATCATGTGACAATCTGTTGAGTAATACTCGCGTGATAGTTTTGTATAGCTGAGATTTGTATAGTTTTGTATAGCAAAATCGGGCGCTAATCACTTATTTCTTTTTTATCACCCTTTTGAACAGAAGAATTGTCGATGATTTTTTCCATTCACTGGGGAGCTTGACTTCTTGAGCATATACTGTGAATCTTCGAGCAAGCGATTTTGCTAAAGTAGTACCGCCGGCCTTGAGCATTTCTGCCGTTATTCCATCTATTCCAGGGCATTTTCCGTTCTTTACCTTTTGCAATCGCAGCTTCTACTTCATCTGTTAGGAATTCCTCCGGTTGAATTGTACAACGTTCTTCTTGTATGGGGATAACCGAACTGTACAGTTTGTTGAAGAAGCTTTTGCATATTCGTGTCATGCCACTTCTAGTGAACACTCGACTTCCACTTTCATCCTTAAGGGCTAGTGGCATCTTTTGCTTTAGTTGGACTTCTTTTGTTATCTTTTTTAGCCCCTTGTTCGCTTTCACAGCTTCTCTTAATTTTCGGGTCCTGTAGTTATCATAGTCTGCCACTATCATTCTCCTAGCTTGCTCACATATGTGATGGTATTCTTCGTCTAGTATTCCTTGTGCCTTTAAAGCAGCTCTCCTTCTCAGAAGTTGTAGAGTTTGCTCCGTTAGCCGATGGTTTTGCCTTCTCACGCGTGTGCTACCTGCCTCCACAGCTTCTTTTATGGTTTGGACTAGCTTCCGATAATCTTCGTGGATCGGCATCTTTTCTCTTTAAATCTTCTTCTACTTCTTCAGGGTTGCAGATGACTTTTGAACAATTTGGCGGCTTCTCGCTAGTATTCTGGACTCCAGTGCATTTTCTATTATGATGGTACTTCGATTCATTCTCGTCATGAGTGATATGATATCATGAGTGATTTATTACGATTGTATTTCCCACGATTGCCTTATGCAACGTAATAAATAAATA